GCCATAGATGATGTATAGATGGCCTTAGAGGTGCCTTTGAGTTAGTGGGTCTTCTGTGGCCACCTCTTATGGGCCAGAACCACTCTGCTCTGCCTTGTGCGTTGGGAGCCTTGTATCAGAACAGCTGATCAGACACCGCTCACACACAGAGGGGCACCTCTAGAGCACCCTATACACTGGTAATATAAGACAGAGGTGGATTGCGTCTAAAGGGCTCTCTAGATTTACCAACAGGAGGGCTCCAAAGTCCAGCTTAGTCTGGCCTTTCTCGCATGCCACCTCCGAAGCAACCAGACTGGCAGCAGTCAGCTGTGTACTGCATTGATGCCTTCTGCACTGGCTTACTTCCGTTGAAGGGCCCAGATCCTGCCTTTCTCAGCCCCTATATGGATAGCTGCAAACTTTACCCTCCAATTGTATTGTACAGGAGGGCTCTGTGTGATCCGTGACCCAGACACAAAGCCAGTTCTAACTCTGGCATTAGCAGGTATAATTCCCATTGACTGCAGTGGGGATGAGGCTGAATTGGTGCAGCTGATTTCTGTTTTCCCTTAGTCAATAACATTTAACACATTTCTCTTTACCTTTAGTGCCGGGGACAAGCTCATGCTACTTGATCAGTGCGAGAGGTACCGACGCTGTTTCCAGTGTAAGAGGCGCACGACCAACTGCGGGGAATCCAATGTGTGGTCAGAGTCTAGATACATTCCAGGATCCCGGTTAATGGTTTGAAGCAAGTTTTCACCCTATTTTTGTTTTCTTCGTGCGGATTTCCCCCCCCCGAATGTGGTGAGCTATGTCTCACAGCTCAATGAAAATTGCTCTAAAGATTGTTGCTTTTGGACTTAGGTTTTTATGAGAATTATGTTGAATTAAACAAAGTTCCAAAGGAGTAATTTCCTTGCTTTGGTACCAGATCTGTAGGTTAGCTGAACTGATGGTAAGATCTGGAGGGGCAGAAAGAAGACAGCGTGGGGAGCAGGAGATTGTTACCCTGTCAAGTTGGCATTGAGTGATTAGCAATTGCTACTCCTCTGATCACCATTTAGTGCCCTGTAGGAAAGGAGTTGGTGTCTTTGGTCCAGTATCTAGGGGACAGCTACCACTATTTAACACCCTTCTTAGCAATCTCAGCAGAGATGAAGAACTGAATCAGCATGGAGACTGACCTAATCTCACACCAAGTGGTTGTACCTCCTGATCCGAGGGCAGGCCTTGAAGGTAAGGCAGCTTGCACTGCCACTGTCCATGGCGTCGTCTATTTGGCTGTCCACAATTTCACTCACCAGGGCTGTCATATAGACTGGTGCTCTTCAAGCCATTCAATTCACCTAATCATTGACCGTTGATGCCAGTAAACATTAATCTCTGCTGTGGAGTCTGATAGCAAGAGGCATTCTGAAAGGAAGTTCTGTTACAGATCCTGCCTGCTATCCCACAAATATAGGGGGTACTAAGTGGAATAAGTATTTCCAGATGAAGTCCTTCACCCCTTCTATGTGCTACAGTGTGGTGCTTGGGTGTGAAGAGCCCTGTGGGCGCTCTGCTGAAATACTAGCTCACGCAAGCCTTTTAGAACATCCTAAACTCCTAAGCCTCATTTTGAATGCAAGCTCTGCAACTGAGTCCTCTGCTCTTCAGGCATTTGTCCAGCTGGAACTGCTGAATTGGAATCGGACGTGTTTAAAGGCTGAGATGCTGTGCGTTAGTGGAGACTGGCCAAGAGCTGGATCACAGCCATGGAAGCAAGGAGAGAAATGTGCTAATTAGGCGAGAGATCAACCAATACTGCCAATTTGCTACAGAACCCAAGAGAATACAAATTGTCCAAACGCCTGCCCTGACTCGCACGCCAGAGCGCAGCAGTGCTCTCTCTCACTATTGCTAAAGCCCATGAGATTTTAAAGCCTGATCCTGCAGTATTCCTGCAAAGCTTGTTGAGCTCATCAGGCGTTTTGCAAGGGCTATAGCACTGGGGGCCTTACTTCTAGCTCTTCTTCCCCTTCCCTTGGTAGGGTGCAATAACTGGTCTGTTACTGACAGCTGTATCCCCCCCCCCCCCCCCCGAAGGACATCACCAGCTACACCATTCTACTGTCTGAACAGACAGTTCCCCAACATGAGCAGGGACAGAGATTGTTTCTGTACACTGGAACTGTATTATTATTGAATAGTTATACTGCAGTAGTTCCCAGCAGTCCTACACAAGCCCTCATTGTACTAGATGCCGCAGAAATGCTTAGGGAAGACATTGTCCCTACCTCAACTAACTCACTTTAGCAATCTGTGCAATCAGTTAACTAAGGCCTCCAACAGCTCGGTGAGGTAAATAAGAGAGACCCAATGCAGGCCTCCTTTGGGGCTGCAGGGGCTCTTGGACAGCGAATAGCAGTGCTGCATAGCAGGCTAGGACAAGCACTGAAGAGTATCCTATCCAGTTGAAGCTGTAGTGAGGCATGTAGGTGGGCAGGGCTGCAGGACTAACATCCGTAAGGTGCCATGGGATACATAATGGTCACAGTTGTTCTGGTCTAGACAGGTTCTTAGCCTGTGCTCATCACCGAGCACTATGCAGGAGTGCATTAACCGCTGTGACTACCCATCTGTCACATGTTTCTCTCATGCTCTCCACAGGTGGAGAAGTGGCTGGCGTGTTCTGTTTTGGAATTGATTCTTCTATACAGTGAGACGTTGTGAGGCTCATGGCTTGCTGTCTGAAAGATGGGCGCTCCAACAGCACTATGCCCCAATGCACAGGTTCAGTCCTGACTAAGCAAAGAACTTGAACACATGAGCAGTCCCATTGACATTAATGGGAACCCTCACCTGCTTTGCTGGATTGGTGCCCAAGAGGACAGGCAACACCGCATTAGCTTCCATTTTCAGGTGTAGTCTGCATGCCTGGCTCTCACTGACACGTCTAGTACGGCATATGCAATTAATTTAAAATATCCTTCAGAAACCATTTGGCATACATGGTTTTTAAAAGAAGGGATGGTGTTGCACTTTTTAAGTAAGCTTTAATTGATTATACAAATGAAACATACACAGTACAGAAACCTGTCATTGCATTACAAAAGCACTGCATGTACAATCACTTACAGGAGCTGTTTAATGCTCTCTAATAAAATGGCCAGCACATTCAGCTTGTCTGAGGTCTTCATAAAGTAACACTAAGAATTACTGAGGCAGTTTAACAAAGTTTTACGGACAAAGTAACAATGAAAGGGTTCCATTGGACCTGTACATGGGAAAGCAGAAGAATATTGAGATTAACCTGTCATTATAGCACCTGATGACTGGAGGGGAGAATAAAGACAATGACAAACTCCAGAAGGTGTTTTGGGCTGGAAGTGTGCATTGTTTTGGGAGTGCTTTCTTCTCCTGCTGCTTTAGTCACTGACTGAATTCAAAATGTGGTTTATGTTAGCTCATGAGCGGAGTGGGGTGGGAGCATGCCACCTGGGGTGTTCTGAATGCTCCTCACAGATTGTAGGCACTCATGCAAGGTATGCAAATAGCTCGAAGTAAGGGAGAAAAATCATTAGTGATTTCAGTTCAGATACCGACTCTTGTTTAGAGACGGCTACAACCTCCACCCTCCGTCCCGGTGGGCAGCTGAATGTTTTCCTCCAAAATTTGGGGGTGATCAGCTCGGATTCTGGTGCATGCCCATTTCTACATCACTGGAGCTGAAAGTAAAGCTTTTATTGAGCCAAATACTGACTGAGGAGAACCTAAGGTTAAACCCTGAGAAGCACAGTAAAGCTCACTGCTTGCTGCAACGTGAAGTCAATGGACTCAATGTAGAGTCAGACAGTCCGAATGGCTTAGGCCCTGATCCTGCCAAGACTTACACACACACTTAACTGTACCCACTGTGAGTAACTGATCCCATTGATGCGAGTGGGACTACTCAGTGTGTAAAGTTAAGTCTGTATGTAAAGCCTTGCGTGACTGGGACCTTAAAGCAACTAGAAAGCTCTCAATTTTGGCTTTACATGTCAGATATGTTGCCAGTTTTCATTTTAACTGATATTTTAATTGGGAAAAGAAGTTAGAGGTCTTAGCTAATCAGGAAACAAACATTTACATTGCTGAACTGGCTGCAGAAGTTCAGAGAAAACTATTTGACTGCCGTGATATCAATGGGGATGCATCAGATGTGATCTAACTGGTTCATCAGCGTTGCACATGGCAGCATTGCTGACTTTTGATACGGTCATGCTGAATTTCATTATGTGATGAGTCTGTTTTCAGCCAACCATGATCTAAGACTTTTTGTTTATGCATCAATTAATAACATTTTGAAATAGATCAGATTCTGTTTTCCTTTTTTGTGTGCTAGTCTGAAAATAAACAGATGTCCATCCCTTTGCATTGGCAGTCAGATTTGATGAGGCAAGACTTGTATGGTTAAAGCCTATATTTAACCCAGCAGCAGAAACATAAACTTGATTTATTAGATATGATGCTTTGGATGCTGTTTTATGTTAAGTAAAAAAAGACCCTATTACTATTCCCTGAGACCTTTCTTGGCCATATTGGAGCCAGGTAAGGAGAATGTGTTAGGAAAATCAAATACTCTTAAATCTGTGGAGTGTAGGATCTTGATTGTCATTATATAGGTTACAGACATTTGATGATATGAACCAATAGAATAAGGCTTTAAATAAACAGAACAAACTTACACAAGGTCGGTGAAGTAATATATTATTGGACCTGTTGGTGAAAGAGACAAGCTTTTGAACTACAAAGCCGTTCTTCAGGTGTGGGAAAGCAGAATGTCACAGCTAAATACAAGGTGGAACAGATTGTTTAACGTAAGTAGTTAACACACATTTTATGAAACCATTCAAGGTGAAGTGGCCCCATTAACATCTCTCAGTCATAGGACAAAAAATGAGGAAGAATTTCTGGACAAATGCACCATGAAACCAACCATATGCCCCATCTTGTATTTAGCTGTGACACTCTGAGTACCTTTTCCAGACCTGAAGAAGAGCTCTGTGTAGCTCCAAAGCTTGTCTCTTTCACCACAGAAGTTGGTCCAATACAAGATATTACCTTACGCACCTTGGCTCTCCAATATCCTTGGACCAACATGGCTACAACAACACTGCAACACATCTTCAGGTTGAGCTGATATTATTCCCTTTTAGAGGAATCAATAGGGAAAGGATACTCCTCACTAATACATTCAAACTGATAGTTAAGGGACATATGCAGTGTTGTTGTACCCATGTTGGTCCCAGGATATTAGACACTCAACATGGAAGATTTTTGAAAGGTCTTCCTAAACTTACAGCAAACTCCATTGGCTCCAGTGCAGCGCCTTCTGATTTCTGCTAGTGTCACTGAAAGGAGACTAGAGCGCCAAAACAGTAGTGATGCCACAGTGCCTTTGATTGCAATTCTTTTTGATTACTAATAAAAATAAAAAAATCACCGCGGCACTCTGTGTATCAAAGAAATGAAACTTCAATGACAGTTTTGGCCTCTACCACCATCGCTTTGTAGAAGAGAGCACCCAAGCCAGTTCCTTGGGAGCTATGTTTCCTGTGTGATTTGCTACTTTACAATTCATTCTTTTGATACAGAAGTGAGACAATTTGTTTAGAAGAGAATACTGTTTATGCAAGGTCACAGGAGTGCTTTGAAGGAAGGTGGAAACTACGGTGCAGGACTTCTTGGGGTAAGCCTTTAGACATATATGTCTCTGTCACTGCACATGTTGGCTCTGGCCTGTTCCCTAGTCAGGTACTTACAAAGTAAAAAGGCAGCTGCAAGTAAGGAAGTGCTTGTTTCCAGATACAATACAATTTTGCAAGCCTGAAGATTGGCAATGATGGTAACAACCAGAGAATATTAAGGATCAGAGTTTTAAAAAAATTATACATCTTGAATGTGCATGGCTGCTTGTGGCCACCTGTAGTTATCGATAGCAAATGACTCATATTCAGTGCTATAGATGAGGGCTTTGACAAAGGCTTCCTTGTCTTCTGGTTCTGGGTACCAGGAAGCCAGCTTATGTTTGTAGGCGTAGTCAACAATCTGCAAAGAAAAAAAAACAAAACAATAATGAATAGCTCAATCTCTACTGCTATTTCTCCCCAAGACCTGGTCTACACTATGAAGTTCGGTTGACGTAAGCCATCCTGCGTTGACGTAGTTGTGCCTGTATCTACACTTTAATTTGTCTCACATCGATGGAGCCCCATTATGGAGACACGGTAACCCCATCTCCCTGAGCGGTGTTGAGCCAGAGTTGATGTACTGAAGTCGACACAGTGCAAGTGTAGACACTGCATTATCTATATTGGCTCTAGCAGTCCTTCAGCAGCCGTCCCACAATGCCTGACACTGACTGCTGTGGTCACAGTTGTGAACTCCACTGCCCAGAGGTCACAGAGACTGAAAGGCCCCTCTCTCTCTCCCTCCCCCACCCCCGCCACCATAAAAGCCTGCAAATTTTTGAAATGCCATTTTCTGATTGTCCAGTTTAGCAAGCACACCTAGCAGCTCTCCACTGTTGTGTGCAACTGCCTGGGTGACCAGGCGGGCTACATGCTCCAGACTCGCTCTGGCCAGAAGTAGATGGGAGCTCTTGGATCTCCTGAGCCTGCGGGGAGAAGAGCCTGTGCAGACATAGCTACGGACAAGCCATAGAAATGTGGACAGCTATGAGCAGCTTACGCAGAGGACGCAAGAGAAGGGGTATGACAGGGATCAGCAGCAGAGCCGCGAGAAAGCGAAGGAAATGCGGCAGGCCTATCAGAAAGACAGGGAGGCCAACAATCGATACAACACCGAGCCGCAGACCTGCTGCTTTTCCAAAGAGCTACATGCCGTACTTGGTGAAAACCCCACCAGTATCCCATGGATACCTCTGAAGAGCCTAAGACACAGACTCATGGCATGCACAGCGAGGAGGAGTGAAGGAGACTGGGGGACATGCAACCGGGGTTCCAGCTATGTCGTGAGCCAGGACCTGTTTGAGACTCCACCACAGTCAAGTCAGTGCCAGCAGTTGAGCATCAGTGAGCTCAATGCAGGGGAAGGAACCTTGGGTAAGTGTGTAAATGTATTTCCCAGTACCATGATGTCCCCCAATGTAACAGGCCACAGCTATTGACTTTTCATTAGTTTACTCATCCTAGAAGAGGTAGTGGCACAACAAGGAGAGGTAGAGTTGTTAGCTGCTCTTCATTCCCCTGTAGAATTAGGCGGGGGAGTGGGGGTTTGTGGAGAAGTTTGTTTATGTACACAAGGATGTTCCTTGAATCCGCCTGAGAGATCTCAATGAAATGTTCATGCTGGTACCTTGCAGTCCTCTCCCGAAGGTTTCTAGGGATGGCAGCCTTAGGTCTTCCTCCGCAGCAGAACATTTTCCCACGCCAGTTGGTGATGACTTTGGCCAGCACCATTCCAGTCAAGAGGCTAGCGGCATACGGGCCCGGGCGACTTCAGGACACCAACAGCAGCTGGGCTGTCCATGCGTTTGTTACCCTCAGGAGTGAGATATCAGCTAAGATCACCACCGCCTGTGGAAATTGGTGCCAGTATTCAATGCCACTGCCCTATACTCATTCCTTCAAGCAATTCCCTTCTTATTTCTCTCGCCCCTGGAGGGCCATGCTCACATGGCTGGTGCTTTGAATGGTGCCCTGCACAAGCACTACAAAGCAGAAATGACAACAAGCATGTCTTTTTAAAACTTTAGGGGAACAAGGGAAGGGAGTTCTGAATCTTAATTTTTGCTTTCTGTTGTGACTATTCTGACAACCTGTGTGTGTGTTAGGGGTAGCTTGAGGGGTTTCCCCTCCATACTCGCAGGGTGCCTGAGCCAGATATGGAGGAGAAAGAAGAGGACTTAGGGTGACATGTTCAGTAAGATCCGGCAAGCCAGCGCTGCATCAGACCATGAACAGAGGGCCTGGAGGGTGAATACTGCAGGATGTATAGACAAGGAAAGAATGGACAGGAGACAGGCCCAGGAATCCCAGCAGGAAAAGGAGAGGGAGATGCACCAGGACATAATGGGGCTTCTCTGGCAGCAAACACAGATGCTGCAGCCTCTTGTGGACCTACAGATTCAACAGCCACTCCCTTTGCCATCTATGGAGAACTCCACTAGAGCACCTCTCTACACACAACCCCTTCAACATTCCACGTGGCATCAGGAGCTGTATTCCTACCTCTGCTACTCCACACCGGGGGACAGTAAGGCCAACCACAGCTTCACATACACTGACCTATGAGAGCCAAGGTTGCTGTATGTGTGTAGCCAAAATGGACATAAATGCATGACAATGGCACCCACCATGGATTTTCCAACTCCAAAATGATTTCCTGTTAATCGGTGGCAATTGGACATTGCAAGTTTCCACAGGGCGGTTGCCACTGGTTTTTCCACTTCAGTGCAGCTCTCATTCTGGTGTCCCTGTGATGGAAGGCTGCGGCAAGCTCAGCACATAGAGCCAGGAATGTGGCCTCCCTTGCACATCGAAAAGTTCTGCAGCGACTGCTCGTCATCCCAAACCTGCCATTTGATGCGATCCCACCTGTTAGTGCTTGTTTCTTGGGCCCAGAAGTGGCGCTTCACTGTCTGCAGCTGCTCTGTGAATGCCACCAACAACCTTGCATTGGTTTTCACTATATCCCATGAAATCTGCCCTCCATGAAATCATCGTGTGCCCTGTTGATGTGGTTCTTTCTGAGGTTCTGCAAATACCGGAGGATCGTGTGTCCGGTGCTTGGAACACTCATGACAATAGTGCAGAACTGTGCGGGTTCCATGCTTCTGTCAGAGATGGTGGAGAGCAAGGAGGGCCACATAGGTTCGTAGGTTGTTTTTTTTTTTAAAAAAGGCACGGAAATTATGGGATAAGGATGACATTACAGGAGGGAGACAGATGTATGCTGGGACGTTGTCCCCTTGCTCCCAGTCACCCCTGCATGACTCATTTCTGCCCCATCATGCATTGCCAAAACTTTCCAAAAGACAGTGCACTGGATGGTGGTGAGTTGCACCCTGGAATATCTACCCAGGAGGAGGGAGATTTCATTATCTGAGTTGCACTAAAATGTGGAAGAGAAGACTAACTGTTCAAGATCAGCCAAGACTTCTGTGCTAGAGGCTGCACCACTAGTCTGTGAAGCAAGATGTGCTGTTGTATGTTTTGCACAGAAAGTGAGTGGTATTTTCTGCTTCATTTTCAAAAATCTATTACTTGATCAGTTGTATATAGCACTTTACAGACTGTCGGATTCTCAAGACACCTCTGGGGGCAGCTAAGTATTAACATCCCATAGCCTGAAAAGGTGAAACTGAGGCATGAGGTAAATTTTCAGTAGTGGTCTCTAAATTGGGGGTACTATAGACACTAAGGCCAAGTTATTCAACCGTGGGTGCCTACATGTACCCATAAATCCGTATTTAATCACTGGCCTTGACTCTTCGCGGAACACTTGCAGCTCCTATTAAGGATGATGGAACACGCCCTGGGTGCTCAGCACCTCTGAAAATCAGGCCACTTATTTAGGTGCCCAAGTTTAGACACCCAAAGTCTGACCATAAGCTCACTGAAATCAGTGAGCTTATTACTTCAGGCATCACTGGATCAGGCCCCCAAAGTCTGCAAATGTTGGCCCTGATTTGCCAAGGTGTTGATCACTCTAAGCTCCCATTGACTAAGAGCAGTTAGGGATGATCTACAACTCTGAAAATCCAGCTGCTTGCACCTGAAGATGGGCCACTTTTAACATTTGGGTCTCAACCATTTGCCCAAATACAGAAAGAACCATTGGAAAATCTGGGCTGAAACTCAGGAGTTTGAGAGTACTATTGCTTTGCTCACATCACACAAGAAAGCCACACAACTTAGGACAAGAAACAGAGCATGGAGCTTTAAACCACATGGGATTCATTTTCTTAGCATTATTAAGACTCTCTTCACCTCAACATCCTGATTCAGTATTTACAATGTCAGTAATTTGGAATGGACAAGGAGGCTTCACCGATGTGTGACGGAGGCTAATTTGGAATTAATGTCAGGCACATTGGGAGCCAACTGGGAGTTACACAGCGTGGGGCTACCTGGAATTGTGATTGGCCCATGGCACTGAATCAGCTCTTCCACACCTGAAAGATCTACTCTATCCCGTGGAAAGTCACGGGGGGAGGGGCTGAGAGCAGCGAGCGAAGGTGTGGCCTTGGCTGGAAGAGGCGGGGCTTCGGCCAGAAGAGGCGGGGCAGGGGGCTAACCTCCCCAAGGGGAAGCGTCACCCACCGCCCATGTTTCTGGGTCTAATATAGCCAGTGCATTTATATTGGTAGTCATAACCACTTCAAAGATGAGGGCAAGAGAAAAATCCTTGCCAACGTTACGAGAGGTTATATATAAACAAAAACTTCACAAGAATACTCGAATTCTTACTTCAACAGCAATTTTGAAGGACACCTCTCTGATGGTACTCAGGGGAGGATAGAGTCTCCCTTCAGCAAGATGCTCCTCCGTGACCTCTTCAGCAATAGACTAGAATGAAGAGAAGGTAGGTTATAGATGATGTTCTCAATCAAGTACAGCATGCACCCTCTTAAGGCTTTAACAAGGCAGTGCGGAGCTGAGACTTCAGTTGCTAAGAGAGCCAGGAGAAGTCCTTGTAATCAAAAGCAAAACCACTCAAAATTCAAATTTGCATACATTTCATTCTGAGCTTGAAAACGCAGCCCTTTCAGCAAAAAACGTGTGCGCGACTAGCTACCATTTTTGAAAGAAGTGAGTCCATTTCTGAGAAAAAGTTGGCTCTGCCTCCCAAACATGCCGCTTGGCTATATGTTATGATCTGAAAACAGACATTTTCCAAAAAATACAGCCTACAACAAAGGCTGAGGAAAATGCAAAGTGGCAAAAATGGCTTTGTGAGAGCTGCTGGCTTGGCGGGGAACCCTGGCTGCTTGCTTTTCCCTCCGCTGACGGGAGCCAGGCATCTCCTGCAGCAGGGGAAAGGCTATGGAATAAATTCAGCTGTTTCAAATATGATCAAAGGCTTTGGGGGATTTTTGTTTTCTTTTGGATTTGTTATTTTTGCCTGTAAGTAAAAATACCCAGGACTCCAGAGGACATGTCCCCTCGCCCCCCCCCCTCAGCTCCCTCCACAGCGGGGAACCAAATACTGGCTCATGCAGAGGACTTCTGTTGGCACAATGGAAGCTCTAGCATCCTGCTGTGTTGGGAAAGTCTGCAGCCTTTTGCTGAGGGGTTGAAGTTCACATGATACACATTGCCCTGGGCCCGTTCCTAGCCAAGGACTTAACTAGACTCCTGGGGTTCAACAAGCCTCATTCAAGCTGCTTTTTTATTTTTTAAAAGCACCAGTTAAATATAGATCTGAAACCTCTGCCGTGGTGAGGAAGATATCATCGGAGATATGCCGGACCCCGCAGGCAATGACTCCCAGCGCCACTCCGGGGAACACGTAGGCATTATTTCCTTGGCCGGGGAAGAAGGTCTGTCCACTGGCCAGGGTTACTTTAGGGAATGGACTCCCACTTGCAAATATGCCTCGGCCCTGTTGAGAGAGACAGACACACACAGATATTGGAGAGGCAATGTCTACAATTGAGGGGATCCCAGAACCCAGCTCTGGGAGTACAGTGACTGTGATAGCAAATTCATTGATCATTCAGCAACAGCTCCACCACCATTAGGATCTGACTGCTGTTTAAACTGACATACAGTTTGTTTGCAAAAGGGAAAGAGCCATGTGGCATTTAGTTTCCATTTGGCCTGGTACCAGACAATGTCTCATTCTAACCTATTTATCTAGATACATACATGGCTCCTGTCAACACAGTGTCCTGTGATGCAGGAAAATATTCCCATTTTACAGAGGGGAAGGAGATGCGCAGAGATATTTAGGCCTAGATCCTCAAAGGTATTTAGGCTTAACTTCCACTGAAGTCAATGGAAGTTAGGAGTCTAAATACCTTTGAGGATCTGGGCCTAAATGACTTACCCAAGACCCCCTAGAAAGGCTGAGGTAGACCCTAGACTTGAATCCAGATCTCCTGAGTTCCAGTCCAGTGCCTTACCCACTCTCTTTCCCCTTGCCTGATCCGAATCCCAAAGTTGCCTCCCATGAATACCTGAGCTAGGGCCCTCATGCATTTGAGGAGCTCACTGAGGAACACAGCTCTGATGGGCCAGCCTGAGAAGGGAGTTTGGGGTGGGCTCAGGGCCTCCCTCCTCTCCACCTAATAAAAAGATTCAACCCCAACAAGGTTGTGTAGCTGGGCCCTGGAGGGGAGGAGGGTCTCTGCATCAGGAACGCCCCCCTCAACAAATCATCACCATTAACACTAAGGGTATGCCTCCGCTGTGCCAGTGTAGATGCTTCCTACATCGAAGGGGGTTTTCCATCGATATAGTTAAGAATTCTTCTGTCAACCTAGCTGCAGCCACTCTGTGTGTGTGTGTGTGTGCACGCGCACGTACCGGGGGTTAGTTCAACCTAACTATTTCGCACAGCGTGCAACATGTTTCACAGCTCTCTGAGGGGGGTAGCTAGGGTCAATCTAATTCTGGGGTGCAGACTAGGCCTGAGAGTTTATGAACGGAAGTTGCCCCTGCGGGGCTGATCAACTGCAAGAGCCCTGCAGGCTGACATTTTACTCGACATGAGCTGTACGTCAGTGGGGTTCTGCCAGGAGGTTACATTCATCTATGACCCACCAAAGAGCCCTCTGATCACAGTAGCACACAGAGAGATTGCGCTGTGTGTTAAGTCTCTTTGGCTGTTCCGCTCAGCTGCTGTGCTGGGAGAGACAGTCGCACATTTACCTCTGTTAGGTGATAGCACTGCTCGGCTGTGCACTCTGCTTTACTCGTGGGGTTACTTAGGGCAAATACGATGGGCCTGTCATTGAAAGACGCCATGTCCTTCAAAATCTTCTCCGTGAAAGCTCCTGCGATGGCGGCTACACCTAAGAAGTGAACAATTAATTCCTGATTCACTCTATGACTTCCAATGGATCGGGCCCATGTTTCCTTAAACCTCAGCTCTTGTTAGCGCTCAGTAAATTGAACGGTAAGACTCTGAGGGAGAAGGCCGGCCCTTTCCAGAGACCCCATGCAAGTCAGATTTACAGTGACAAAACCACCTTCAGGATAAAGCCCTCCACTCCATCGAGCAGAGGATCAGCAAACAGCCCAAACCAAGTGTTTGTCCGGGTTGGCTTTGTGGCTACGCTCAGCACTATCCTTCAGGAGGCCTGGCACTGGTAACTGCCACCAGACTCTTGCTCTGCTGGTCAATTGGGGATATATAGGGCCCTACCAAATTCATGGTCATGAAAAACGCATCATGGATCATGAAATCTGGTCTTTTGTGTGCTTTTACCCTATACTATACAGATTTCACGGGGGAGACCAGCGTTTCTGAAATGTGGGGGTGCTGATCCAAAATGGAGTTGCAGGGGGGGTCGCGGTATTGCCGTCCTTACTTCTGCCTTCAGAGCGGGGCAGCCGGAGAGTGGCAGCTGCTGACTGAGGGCCCAGCTCTGAAGGCAGCAGTGCAGAAGCAAGGGTGGCAATACCATACCATGCCATCCTTACTTCTGTGCTGCTGCTGGCAACGGCTCTGCCTTCGGAGCTGGGCTACCGGGCAGCAGCCACCGCTCTCCAGCTGCCCAGCTCTGAAGGCAACGCTGCCGCCAGCAGCAGTGCAAAAGTAAGTGTGGCAATACCGCAACCCCCTCTACAATAACCTTTGCGATCCCCCCACAGCTCCTTTTTGGGTCAGGACCCCTACAATTACAACACCATGAAATTTCAGATTTAAATAGCTGAAACCTTGAAATTTACAATTTTAAAAATCCTATGACTGTGAAATTGACCAAAATGGGACTTGAATTTGGTAGGGCCACAGGGATATACATGCTCAGCCTCTAGGAGCAGCAGAACTCTGCTTAACTCAAGAGTGCCCCCTGTGGCCCATTAAGGGCAGCGCCGATTGGCTCCCAAGGGATCCCTATTCAACAGAAGGAGGGAGCTTGTGCTTCATAGCCTCAAGAGATGGGGCATGCTGGGAAGTAAAGGAAAAAAATGCCGGCAGGGAGGCCTTGGGAGTCGGACTGGACAAGAGAGGAGCCCCTGGAACAAAGAAAGAAACCCCCCAAGAACTGGACAAGTGAGACGGAGCTCCCTTTTCCGTGACTCTACCTATAATAGCTGTCGGCTTCACTCTTTGCACTACCTCCTCCAGAGTTCTCATCTGGGGGTGATCTTGGGCAAACATTTCCTTCTCGTGGTTCAGGTGACTCCTCCCCTGCAGGGAAAAAGGAACAAACCAGCCTCTGGCAGGTGAGAAAAGTCTAGATCGATTATTTGCAAAATCTTGTTTGCAAGATTTCAGTGCCTCACGCTATTCTATATTCTGCTATATCGCACTTATCCCTGTAGTATCTGCGCACCTTCCAGTTGTGCATTACGTGACTAACATCTGTCACGTGTGGTTTGTTCTCCCATCCTCTCGCATGGGGGAGGATTGTGTGCAGTGGAGTGGTTTGTGTTGGTAAGTTTCTTTTTTGATGTGCACCTTGCACTTCGTGTGGAAGGCGGTGAGGTTTCTGATGGCCCTTAGTTCGGGTGGAAGTTCATTCCAGTGTCTTGGACCAAATCTCAAGAAAGCTCTGTCTCCTGGTGAGGAGATTTACAAAGTCCCCTTGGGCCTGAGGAGCAGAGTGGTCCCTGACCCTGCAGCTGTAGCTATCCCCAGAATGTCCAAATGCTGCTGGAAAGGGCATCAAAAACAGGAAAGCAAAGTCTACCCTGATGTGTATAAGCAAGTGCAGCTCCATTGACTTCAACAGAATTGCAACCACTTACTCCAGGGCTGCCTGTGGCCCACTGGATCTGCTTGCTCTGGGTTAATGAGTCAGGCCCCATTGTACCCTGTGCCTGTTACACTGCATCTATCATGCACCACAGCACAGTAGTGCAACAGAGGCAGATTTACCTTGACAATTAGTCCCTTGGAGTCCACCATCCAGATTTTTTTGATGGCGTCTTCCCTCGAAATTCCTTCCTTTTCCATGGCCATAACGATGAGTTGGGCTATGCCCATGGCAGCCTGAAACCCATAAGCAGAAAGCAAATTCCGATCATTTCCTCAGAGGAACGTGCCTCATTTTGGAGAGGTTTAAAAAGATGACAGTTCCCCCCCCCCCCACTCCTCCCAAAAAGCACATGGATTGTAAACTCTGTGGGGCAGGGACCCTCTTTTTGTTCTGTACAGCACCTAGCACACCGGGGCCCTGGGCCATGACTCCAATGCACACAGTAATACAAGTCATCATCATCTAGCTGAAACGTGTCAAGAAGGAGGGAGTGATTGATGGCTTCTAACACAGCAGACTGGTCAAAGAGGTTGAAGGTGGAACATCGCCCTAGGATCTGACCAGGAAGAGGTTGTCTGAGACCTTCGTACTAGCAGTTTCAGTGGAGAGAAGAGGGTAGAAGCCAGACTGGTGCGGCTCCAGGATGAAGCCAGCAGAGAGGAACTCTAGACAACAGTGGTAAATTTGAAATGTTGAGAGGGGAACAGTCCCCTCTTTCTTCCCCCAGTCTCATGATAAAAAAACAAAACAACCCTGACTTGCTGTCAATAGTTCTTGGCATTACGGTTTCACCGAGAGGCCCCACCTGAGAGCTGGGTGGAAAGATGCTGAACACACCCATCTGCCGTGACTGTTAGATTGTAATCTCCATTTTACAGAGGGGCAACTGAAGGGTTAAGTGATTAAGTGATAGGGGGCTGGAGCACATGACTTATGAGGAGAGGCTGAGGGAGCTGGGATTGTTTAGTCTGCAGAAGAGAAGAATGAGGGGGGATTTGATAGCTGCTTTCAACTACCTGAAAGGCGGTTCTAAAGAGGATGGATCTAGACTGTTCTCAGTGGTAGCAGATGACAGAACAAGGAGCAATGGTCTCAAGTTGCAGTGTGGGAGGTTTAGGTTGGATATTAGGAAAAACTTTTTCACTAGGAGGGTGGTGAAGCACTGGAATGGGTTACCTAGGGAGGTGGTGGAATCTCCTTCCTTAGAGGTTTTAAAGGTCAGGCTTGACAAAGGCCTGGCTGGGATGATTTAGTTGGGGTTGGTCCTGCTTTGAGCAGGGGGTTGGACTAGATGACCTCCTGAGGTCCCTTCCAACCCTGATATTCTATGATTCTATGATTTGCCCAAAATCACACAGGCAGTTGGTGACAGGAATTGAACGCAGATCTCACAGGCCGTACGCCAGAGCCTTAACCACTAGCTACTCTCCCTCTCCCTGTTGTGCTAGGCACTGTACACACATAGAAGTAGAGATGGCTTCTGCCTCAAAGGGAAAGTGTGGCTCAACTCTGACAAATGATTGTAAAAGTGGCCTGGGGGAGTTCTGTGTTTGTTGTTCCTCTGTGACGGGCTCAGATTACAAGGAAGAAGATTTTTGTTTTCCCTAACTGCCAGCTTGACAGACATGCCCTGATAGTCCAGCGGGGCTCCTTTCAGTTCATGCATCATCAGTAATAAAGGTTCTGCAGGCCAAATTAAAACCCCATTGACACCTGGGCAGCCTCATGGCATTCAGTGGGTTTGCACGGAGTTGACTGTAACTTAAGTAAACCATTCTGTTAGTGATGCACAAGGAGGAACAGGCTCCAGCTTCATTTCAGATGTGCTGACTTCGAAGGGCTAACAAGCAATGAAGACCACTCCTCGTCAGAAACGTACACTAAGAGTAGGTTTCCCCTTTGCTTCTCCTTACTGAATTCCAGCCTGGCTGAAGACTTAGGCCCGGATCCACAAAAAGATTTCGGCGGAGCACTGCATGAAAAAAATCACTGGAACAACACTGATCTGCAAAGCCAAGTGAGGCACCCAGGCTCCCTATATAATGCATGGGGAGAGACAGGTGCCTTAGAATGTGACCCCCAAAAGCCAGCATGCTAGGCGAGGAGCTGCCTAAACTAGCCAATGGGAGAAGCCGGCAAGAGGGGTGTGTCCTAAGCCCTGCCCTCTCACGGAGATAGGCACCTGAGATGTTTCTTGTAAGAATGAGTTAGGTGACTGCTTCACACCACACAGAACCGTGGGGGAGGAGAGGAGGTGGTGCCCACCCGCTGGGAGATTCTGAGGTGGGCTCCCTCACTCTCTCCAGTTGAAGCTGTTCTATTTTGTATACATAATTAAACAGTGATTGGAGCAGGTGGACTGACCCAGGATCTCCCATGTGGGTGCCCTAACCATTGGACTACAGAATTGTTCTCATCCTTTCTCTGGCCCCGTGACTCTGTATATCCATAGCTTCCACAGGACAGACTGAGGGAGCCCCACTTCAGAGTATCCCAGAGCGTAGTGGCTAGCACACTCCCCTGAGAGGGTGGAGGCGCCTGTTCAGATCCTTCCCCACCTCTGCCTCAGGGGAGGATAGAATTTTAGGTCTCTCACACCCCAGGTGAGGGCTCTAACCACTGGGCTAGAAATTATAATGTGGTGGCACCTCCTTGATTTTGAATGGGACCTGATCCAATAGGTGCCTCTGAGCACGATTACCAGATTGGGCCCATGGGTGAGACAGGAATTCTTCTGCCTGTCTTCCCCTGCTTTGTGGATCGCTCTTGGAGATAGGCCTCCAGGGACCTGGAGTGGCGTGGCAGTGTGCACACCAAGAGTCAGAAACTTAGGCGCCCACAGGGTTCGGCGGCAGCTGAGTGGGACTTTTGTGGCTCACAATGGAACCCAAAACTGGGACTTAGGCACCTAAGTTTGTGGATCTGGGCCTTATGCTTCAATTTTTACCCCCTTAAAATGAAGGGACAAACACTGTATTTAGGGCCGAACCCGGGTGAAGCCTACCTCTCCGGCTCCTTGGAAAACAAACTTATGGTCGGAGAGCTTGTTCTTTGTGATTCTTAAGGCTGCGAAGATGCCAGCTACTGCAACAGAGGCGGTACCTGAAAAGAGAACAGAGACACAGTGAGCAAGAGGAGCAAAGGCAGAAGGTGCCATTCACTAAATCCAGCTGCTAGTTGTTTGAGAACTTGCAGGAAACCATCTCTCGGGTACTTATTTGGCCCCCTGTCACTGTAGTAGTATCTGAGCACCTCACAACCTTTAATATATTTATCCTCATAGCCCCTCTGTGAGGCAGGGCAGTGCTATCATCTGTTTTACAGATGGGGAACTGATGTGAAGAGAGACTTAGGGTGTGTCTACACTGCAATCAGAGATTGGATTACAGCTTGCGTGGGTATAGCCACACTAGCTTTAATCTAGCTAGCCTAGTTTATTATAGCTAAAAATAGCAGTGAAGACGTGGTGGCCTGGGCAGTACACGCCCTCCTGCAACACTGGGTACATACTCATGGTTCTAGCCTGTGCTATTGCATCTTCACTGCTATTTTTAGCCATGAAAACAACAAGGAGTCTGGTGGCACCTTAAAGACTAACAGATTTATTTGGGCATAAGCTTTCGTGGGTAAAAACCTCACTTCTTCAGATGCATAGAGTGAAAGAAGCTAACCCGGGTAGGCCTACTTGGGTAGCAATTGCATCTCCAGTTGCAGTGTAGACATACCCTAACTGACTTGACCAACGTCACCCAGGAAGTCTGTAGCACAGCTGGAAATTGAAGCCAGGTCTCCTGAGTTCCAGGTTACCGTCCTAACCCCTGGACCTCCCTTCCCCCTTCCAATTCCCTTTCAGCTCCCTGCTATTTCTCTTCTCCTTCACTTCCCTCACACTCACTCCTGGCTCAGTGCCCAGCCTGTCTATTAGCCCAGCGCTGGGGAGAAAACTACCACTCCAGAGTCAGCAGGACTGGGTGGTGGTGGGGTGGGGGATATTAGGTTTAGGGGGGGAATGTATGGGGGGGAAAGGGAGCGTGTCATAAAAAGCACAGATCAGCTAGGCATTGGCTACACTTGGGGCGATGTGTAGGCCGGGTAGCCGTAGCTACACACAGCAGTGAAAGGCAGGCTGTGTCCACACTGCGGTGTGTAGCTGCATACAGCAGGGAAAGGCTCCAGCAGCGGGGAGGCAGTGGGACACTACACTGCTAAAATAGCAGTGTTGACATGGGAGGCATGGCCTTGGGCATGTAGAGAGCTGGGTAAGGCATGTGCCCTAGGGTTCTGACGTGTCTCTACTCGCTGAAGAAGTGTCTCAGTGTCTAGGCTGCCATTTATAGCCACTTACGGGGGCGTGCAGTGACTGTGCCATAAGTGTAGCCATAGCCTTAGATCCACTGGTGTTACAGCCTCAGCCAGATGCTCTGCACCATCCCAGCTGCTTCACCAGGACAGTTCAAAGTTTCCTCCATCTTCCCCTCAAACAGGGTTAGAGTATCTTGGACTGAGTCATTCCCCACCCCCCATGAATCACCAGAAGTGTGTATCTGTGGAGTCTGGCCAGGCAAAGGGCCACAGTGGAAAGGAGCCGAGGGAGTTACAGGCTGGTGAGGCGCTTGTGATTGCGACAGACGCAGGGTATATAATATGGAAACACAGGCCCAGAGGTATGTGCAATGTCTTGTGCTGGTGCAAAGGCTTCAATGGATATGGCGGGTCTGCTCCTATGCCCCTCCCCTGCTGGGCAGCCTGGATCTGCCCGAGGGGCCTCCCACTAGCCTCTCCGCTCTCACCATGCACAGTTAAGTAAAGAACCCTCCACACTCCAGGCAGGCTAAATACCCTGTTTTCCCCATGCTTCCAGCAGCTCACATTTTCCTGCCCTTCCTTCCCCAAGTCCAGCCAGGCAGAGTTTTCATCAGCCAGAGAGAGGGGTTGAGCCAGCCCAGTGGCTCGCCCTGATGTTAGCGCAGGGGGAAGTGCAGCTTTCACCCCTCCACCCACGCCAAGGAGCTTAATGGAAGATGATGCTAATTAAGGGTGCATGAACGTGAGCTATACAACCACCAGATGGCGCTGTACCTATTTCAATGGTAGGAAATCTCCCAATAAAGATCATCATGGGATTGTGTGTCTGAAGCGTTCTAGTGTTAAGTGGGGGGTTGGGGGGGGGGGTCATCAGTGCAAAACGACTGTTATTGCTTCAGTTTGATCCCCCTTCTCTTTCCTCCGGCTTGCACATAAAGCAAGGCTTTGGGGATAGTGCAATTTAGTGCCTTAATGCCTACCCCCGGCATCTGGTCCACTTCAGGGAGTGGCTGCCTGTGGAGCAGAGAGAACCGCATGCGGTTGTGTTTTTGGAGGTAGCTAATTCATGGTAAAGGCACCAAACACTCTGATAATTGCCATAGAAAAGCATATAATAACAAGCAACTGCTACTATAGAGAAACCCTCTGTGGGGGGACTAAGCAAGTTCCCAGGCTATTATGGAGATTCCAGTGTCTTGGCTTTACAGAGCAGGCTAGTTGCTTTCTAAGTAGGCAATAGGGTTGCCAGGCATCCAGTTTTCAACTGGGAGGCCCGGTTGAAAAGGGACCCTGGTGGCTCTGGTCAGCACTGCTGACTGGGCCACTAAAAGTCCGGTCATAGAATCATAGAATATCAGGGTTGGAAGGGACCTCAGGAGGTCATCTAGTCCAACCCCCTGCTCAAAGCAGATCCAATTCCCAACTAAATCATCCCAGCCAGGGCTTTGTCAAGCCTGATCTTAAAAACCTCTAAGGAAGGAGATTCCACCACCTCCCTAGGTAACCCATTCCAGTGCTTCACCACCCTCCTAGTGAAAAAGTTTTTCCTAATATTCAACCTAAACCTCCCCCACTGCAACTTGAGACCATTACTCCTTGTTCTGTCATCTGGTACCACTGAGAACAATCTAGATCCATCCTCTTTGGAACCCCCTTTCAGGTAGTTGAAAGCAGCTATCAAATCCCCCCTCATTCGTCTCTTCTGCAGACTAAACAATCCCAGTTCCCTCAGCCTCTCCTCATAAGTCATGTGCTCCAGCCAGGGCCGGCTCCAGGGTTTTGGCCGCCCCAAGCAGCCAAACCAAAAAAAAAAAAAAGCTGCGATTGCGATCTGTGGCGGCAATTCAGTGGGAGGTCCTTCGCTCCGAGCAGGAGTGAGGGACCGTCCGCCGAATTGCTGCCGAACAGCTGGACATGCCGCCCCTCTCCGAAGTGGCCGCCCCAAGCACCTGCTTGGTAAGCTGGGGCCTGGAGCCGGCCCTGGCTCCAGCCCCCTAATCATTTTTGTTGCCCTCCGCTGGACTCTTTCCAATTTTTCCACATCCTTCTTGTAGTGTGGGGCCCAAAACTGGACACAGTACTCCAGATGAAGCCTCACCAATGTCAAATAGAGGGGAATGATCACGTCCTTCGATCTGCTGGCAATGCTCCTACTTATACAGCCCAAAATGCCATTAGCCTTCTTGGCAACAAGGGCACACTGTTGACTCATATCCAGCTTCTTGTCCACTGTAACCCCTAGGTCCTTTTCTGCAGAACTGCTTCCTAGCCATTCGGTCCCTAGTCTGTAACAGTGCATGGGATTCTTCCGTCCTAAGTGCAGGACTCTGCACTTGTCCTTGTTGAACCTCATCAGGTTTCTTTTGGCCCAATCCTCTAATTTGTTTAGGTCCCTCTGTATCCTATCCCTACCGTCCAGCGTATCTACCACTCCTCCCAGAAGCAGCTGGCATGTCCACTCCTAGGCGCGGGGTGGCCACGGGGGCTCCACATGCTGTCTTTGCCCCGAGCACTGGCTCCGCAGCTCCCATGGGCCAGGAACCGTGGCTAATGGGGCATGCCGCCTGCTTCCGGGAGTCGCCTCAGGTAAGCGCTGCCCGGAGCCCGCATGCCTTACCCCCAGATCCTGCACCCCAAACTAGAGCTCTCACCACCTCCTGCACCCAACCCCCTGCCCCAGCCCAGTGAAAGTGAGCGAGTGTGGTGGAGAGCTAGCGACAGAGAGAGGGCAGATGGAGTGAGTGGGGGCGGGGCCTCAGAGAAGGGGTGGGGCAGGGGCATGGCCTTGGGGCAGGGGTGGGGCAGGGGGCAGGGCAAGGGTGTTCGGTTTTCTACAGTCAGAAAGTTGGCAACCTTAATAGGCAATGGTGTTATGTATATGAACGCTGTGTATGTGGGGGGCAGACAACAGAAGGCTGTTGATAAAGAATGATGCTCTATAACACTCGACTAGGATTCAGGAGATCTGGGCTCAAGTTCCTGCTCTGCCACAGACTTCCTGTGTGACCTTAGGCAAGTCACTTAAGCCCTCTGGGCCCCAGGTCCCCACCTGTAATGGTGGGCTGGCATTTTCCTCCCTCTGGTGTTATGCGGATAAATTCAGTTACGCTGTGATGTGCTCTAAGACTCCAGTAGGGATGAGTGTGACGTAAGAAACCAGAGAGAAAGACAGTTTATATTTCACAAGAGTAAAGACACACAAAAAAAATCAAAGCAATAGGGATGTGCAAATGTATGACTGGCTATTGGGTGTATTTCATCCTTTCCTCTAGCGTCTTAGGCCAGGTCCCCACTAGAAACCTTTGCCAGTATGGTAATGTCTGTTTGGAGGCCTTGCGGTTTCTTTTTAGTGACATTTCTATACCGGCAAAAGCCCTCATATGGACACAGTTATTCTGGCATAAGAGCGTTTCCTGGTCTGTTTAATTTGCTTAGGGAACCCGGTATGAGCAATACCAGGAAAAGCACTTTTTAGCCAGTAGAAGCTGCATCTACACTAGGAGGGTTTACTAGTAGAGCGATACCAGCAAAAATTTTTTAGTTGTGACCTGGTCTAACCTACAGGAGGGAAGAGCTACTGCCACCTAATCACAATTCTGAGTTAGCATAAATATTGAGGTCGCTTCCAGTCCTACACCTCTATGATTCTACCAGTGGCAGAGGCCTGTTTCCAGAGCAAATTGTCCTGTGCTATCATCATAATGTGTGCATCTAGGCATGCAGCTAGGGGCTGGTTACAATGTAATTTATCAGAGGCAACAGTAATTTAAGCATATAATTCCTAGGGATAGCTAGAG